TTGTAGCATATATTTTAGTTAGAAGGTGTTTATGGATGATGGTATCATATGCGGCGGTTAACTCGACAAGAGCGACTCCAGTGATCAGCTTCTCCTCGTATCCCCTCTCGATATGCTCTGTAAGAGCTAAGACCTGCCCAGTACATTATTTTCCCGGCCTAAAGCCTGCTTGCTGAGGAATAAGTTTCGATTCTACGATTTTCTCCATGCGTCTGAGAATCATTCGCTCGTAAAGTTTGTACAAATGACACAGCAGGGAGATCGGTCTATAGCTACTGGCCAGTTCTGGATCTTTGGGCGGTTTCAGGAGAGCTACAACTTTTTCTTCTTTCTACAACAGATTTTCGCCAAGATTTCGGGATTTTGTGGCTGTCGGTGCATTCGTGAAACAATTTCAAAACCCACATTTTTGTTGCTGGGCCGAAGTTCTTAATCTGCTCGGTACACAAATCGTCTACGCCTACTGCCTTCCCGTTTTTCATATTTTTTAAAGCGTAAGTGAGTTCTTTTAAACTGTAGGGATTCTCCAGGACGTTAATCTCGTTTGCTCGATCTCTCTCTCCTCTCCTATTTCTTCAATCAACGATATTAAGGAACGTGATGGGTTAGACACCGATATCACCCCATATTAATAGACACGTTTTTAGTAACGGAATAAGAAATTCAAAACACATAATCTTAAAAAATATGTTAAAAGAATTGTGTCACACAGTGTTAATATTCATATAAAAACAAATTAGAGGAAGATTAAATTTAACTTACGTGATACTGTACGAATTTTCTCGCTTTAAATTGTTATTGTATCCATCTAAATTTATTATATAAACAATCGGGCAAATTTACAGTAATTTTAAATGGAAGAGCGAGGACAGAATAATATATTATTAGTAGCGGTCCACAGAAAAACTAGTATGAAGAGGTATTATTAACACGAATGCTTCACTACACTCTGAAAAAAAGATATATCTGCGAATGATTTCAATTAGTGCGCTAAAAGCAGATTTGTCACATTTTCACGGCAAGTTTTTTGCTCGAGTAATTTTCTCAATCGTCCTCTGGCTGTTTATACAATTACAACTTAATTAGTGTGAAAAATGCAAATCGACTGTTGCAACTAAAGTAAAATTTTATAACAAATGCTTTTAAACAATCATATAAATATTCGCGTTAGGCGTAGAAAGAAAAAAGTAAACAACAGCTCTTTATGCAGTGTTTTCTTCCATTATTTATTTATTTGAATTTTGAATATTGCTCGTCAGGTAATTGTGTAATTTCGGTAATTTCTTTTCATAACTTTACCATTTTTAATTTATGTATATTCATACATACATCTTTTTTCTTATAACCATTTACTAACTAATTGAAAAGTGTACACAGTGCTTTCATTTTAATTTGCCCTATTTTTAAAAGGCTCTTAAAACATTAAAAAAACGGCTTAAATATTTATTTTTTGAGCTAAAAGGTCGGGTGACACAAGAAATTGTAGTGTTTTTCGTTAAGTTTTATGCCGCTGAGTCAAAAATTGTATAAACTGTCAAATATCAAAATTATTGACATAACTTACTTTTTTTTAGATGGTACATCCTATACAGGGTGTCACAGAAATAAGTGCAAGTATTTTAAGGGGTTGTAGATCTCGATAAAAGAAACATATTTTCTCTTTATCGTTTTTCAAATAAGTCCAAAATAACGGAGTTATTTTACTTTGAAAATTACCAAAAAAATGATTTTTTCATAAAATTTTGAGAACAACTGGGTCTCTTCTGGATTTTCTTTCTTTAATGTAATACGTGTGTTGCCATATTATCAAGAAATTATTTTTTTTAATTAAAAACTAAAAATTTCCAATTTTTTTCTTCAATTTTTTTTTCACGAAAAACACCTCATAGGCGTGTTTCTGGGGTTGAACTATTATACTACCAGTTAAAATACTTCCAGTTAAAATACTTCTGGGACACCCTGTATAAATATTTAAAAAGACTTTTTTTTCTGTACGAAAATATACAACACTTTTCCTTTCTTTTCATTAGTTTAGCGCAAATTCGTATAAATATGATTAAAATTATAATGATTTATATATTTTTTTATATTATAAATATATGTTCTGAGTTTACAAATCAGAAAATTTTCTATATCATAATACCGTATGATCGAAAAAAAGATCGCTGTTATTTCCCAGCCAGCTGGACACCATTCTTTTTCGATCATATGGTAGAACTATAACTATAAAAACATGACAATTCTTGGAAAGAAAAATAATATACGCGGGTATCTTGATGTTAAAAATTATAATTTTAATCATATTTATACGAATTTACGCTAAACTAATGAAGAGAAAGGGCAAGTCTGGCATATTTTCGTAACCAGAAAAAAAGTCTTTTTAAATATTTAGTGATATATTATAGGGTGTACCATTTAAAAAAAAGTAAGTTATGTCAATAATTTTGATATTTGACAGTTTATACAATTTTTGACTCAACGGCATAAAACTTAACGAAAAACACTACAATTTCTTTTTTTACTCGACCTTTTAACTGAAAAAATAAATATTTTAGAGCCTTTTAAAAGACAAAACAAATTAAAATGTCCACACGGTACATCAGGAACTTTTTCATGAAAATTCATGAAAATTGGCGATTTTCGTTGTCACCGATTTTGTTAAAACTGCTATTATTTACAAACTGTAAAGTGTAGAATAAGAAAATATAGGCCATTATAGTCCTACGAAAACAGTAATGGACGTAGGGGACGTTTTAACCTTCATCAAAAACTCGCTAAACAACTTTAGCTAAAAACAATAAGGATCCAAAAAATTGATTTTCTCACAAAACCAAGGTATAAAAGCGTACAAAGGTGTAAAAAACAATCTACATAAAATTTTCTAAAAATACTGAAATTTTCATAATTTTTTGACTATGTTTACTATGTTCCTAGGACCTTTGAAAACGTGTAAAAATAGCCAAAAATGGATATTTTTCGACTTTTTGTCATATACAGGGTCCGGCAAAAATACGTCGTGTTTCTGTAGCTCCTAGAATAAAAAACTTGGAAGTTTTGTTTAGGTGCAAACCTAAAGTATGTACGAGAAATAAGTGTGAATTGGAATGATTTTTTTAAATTGAAAATCCTGTATATTATTGCATTTTTGGCTTCCATTCAGATCACTTTACATAATCCATATGAGTAAATATATTTCGATAGTTTCAGAGATATTAATAAATAAATAAAAATATATATTTTTCAGTCTTTGACAAAAAAATTATTAAAAATACAAGAACTGTCCGGAAATCAAAACTATATTAGATATTTATTTTAGATGGTCTGTTCTTACTTTGCTATAAATAAGGTAATCGTAAATCATACAGGATGTTCCAAATTCCCCGCCAAACTTTCTAAAATATAAAATAATTTTTCTTCGGTTTTTTTTAAATGGAACACCCTGTATATATTTTTTTCAATTGATGGAGAATTAAAAAATGAACATTTTTTGAGTATTTCAAGTATTTCAAAGGCAAAAAAATTAACGGTTTCGCAGATATTCGCGGTTTTATATTTCATATGGCATTTTCCACAGTAATTTTTATCAAAGCCTCCCAATAATTTTTTTCTGGTATTTTACCGTTGAAAGAGCCATATGAAATAATACCACGAGTATCTGCGAAACCATTAAAAATTTTAAAATACTTTAAATATAAAGAAAGTTCATTTTTTAACTCTCCATTTAATAAAAAAATAACGAGCTAACGAGGCAACGCTCTTACAGAATATTGAAGGAACTCCATCCGTTGTCGATTTCAGAAATTTCCACAAAAAAGTGTTCTTCACTATATTTCAAAATGAATGGGACATCCTCGAGGGAACTAATAAACTTAGATCACATGTGCCACTTCTTCATCTGTATCAAAATATATATTCTCTTGAACGCGGATCTTTCTGTAATGTTGTTAGAACCCTCACAAGACACATCTTAACAAATCATATATTATCAGAAATGAATGCACCTTATGCAATAACTTAATGTCAATGAAACACATTCTTTTTGAATGCTTACCTGTGGCCTCCCATAGGTCTAGATTCTTTAATGCTGTTACCAATGAGAATATTTTCGCGCCTTTTAACATTTCGACGGTTAATAAAGTTATGGAATTCTTAGACAGCATCAACATAACGAAAAAACTTTAATTTCTAACTTAAAATAATTTAAAATAACCTCATGTTAAATAAAGCTTATTATTGAGCGCTAAAACCCCTCGCTGTTGACGCGCTCTATAAATCAATACCTCTTTCTTCTTTCTCTTCTTTCTGATATACAAGGTGTTCCATTAAAAAAAACAAAGAAAAATTATTTTGGATTTTAGAAAATTTAGCGTAAAATGTTGAACTATGTATGATTTAAGATTACGATATTTATAGCAAAGTAAGTATAGACCATCTAAAGTAAATACCTAATATAGTTTTGATTTCAAGACAGTTCTTTTATTTGTTAATTTTTTAAGGAAGGTTAAAAAATATATTTTTTTATTTATTTATCAATATCTCTGAAATTATTAAAATATATTTACTCATATCTTAGGATTATGTAAAGTGGTCTGAAAGGAAGTCAAAAATAGAATAATACACAGAGTGTTCCATTTAAAAAAAATCATCCCGATCCACTTACTCTATTTTGGGCCACCCTTTAGAAATTAAAATATTTTCCTGAAATACTTCCTCGTACATACTTTAGGTTTGTACTTACACAAAATTCTGAAGTTTTTTTTATTCTAGAAGCTACAGATGCCCGACGCACTATTGCCAGACCCTATACAAGTATAAGGTTCTGGATGTAATAGGTGAAATTTTCATCAACAAAAATTGTGTAGTATCACAAAGCCAATTTTTTTTAAATTAAAGGATCTAAAATTTCCTAATGTTTATTAAGTTTTCTAATATTTATTAGTTATATTTGTGAACGAAATCTAGCTATAATATTTATTTATATATTTTTCATTTTGTTCCAGAGCTTTCGTCAAAACACCAGCCCGCCACCCCCACTAAGTGCCGCACCCCACCCACCCCTCCAACAGCGCAAAGAAGCCCTTTTTTCGCTCTAAGCACAGCTCAAAACCATTTGCATCGTACATAGAATGGTAGAAGGTGATCCGCCAATAAAACACAAGGAACACTGTGATGTAAATAATCAAAGTGCTCTGAACGGTTGTGGATCCAAGGAACTAAATCCATCAAACCTCATTGTCAAGACTGAATTATCAAAGGTATGCCCGCGGCTTGCTAACTATAAAATTCTGTCTCCAATTAACAAAAACTAAACTATAAGCTAAATTGTGATTAAAAATATAATATCTAATAATATCATTCAGGCGTGGTTCAGAACTCTGAAGGCCTAGTTTTATTTTTCAAATACGTAATAGCGTTGATTGAAGAAATAAGAAGATGCGCAACCTTAAGGGCGATTTTTCGTGGCACAAAACCTGTCCGAGATGTTGCTGGCGTTACCCTCAGCCTAGGGATGTGCGATTCTGTAAAATAATCGATTTTTGGACTTATTTGAAAAACGATAAAAAGAAAATATGTTTCTTTTATCGAGATCTACCACCCCTTAAAATACCACTTATTTCTGGGACACTCTGTATATTTCTAGTTTTTATGATTTTTTTACACACAAAGACACAAAACAAAATAAAGTATAATTCTAAATAATACAACAGCAAGCAAAATGACTTTAGGTAACAGTGTGTAAAATAAAATTCTAAATAATTAAACACTAAAATGACTTTAAAATGATAACATTATTAAAGAATAGAAATATACAGTGACGAAAATATACTTTGACGGGCGTAATAGAGAACGTTGCGTCCGAGCGCCATCGAACGTCCTGAAAACAAATGTAAATTCAATTACGTAATTAATTATATCTTCTGAAATTGGGAATAAAATTCGGGTTGCATGACGATTCGGTCTCGATTTAAAAGAATAGATTCTATAAAAAATCGGATTTGGATTAATCGATTCAAAAATTCGGGAATCGTTGATATGCCAACAATTTGACATGACAAGATCGATTTTCTGAAGAATCGATTTAAATCGAAAATTCTTACCTCAGCCTGTCCGAGAATTTCGAGATTTAGTTTAGCTCTGCGCCGCTGCGCGCTGATCGTGAACAGCGCAGTGGATAAAAAATACTGTACCGCAGTTTTGCTTTCAGTCGACAGAGTGAGTGGTTGCCGGAGACAGTGTTGACAGAACTACTGATTAATCCGTAGATTTACGGATTTTGGGTACAGTACCTTAATAATACGGATTTTATATCATTAGAAAAATTTAAAATAATATTATATAATTAAACAAAGAACGGCGTCAGATTTGGCTTGGAATTGAAGATCGCTGTTATTTCATATATAAAATATTATGGTAAATGTCAATAATCGTCATTTCCAAGCCAACTAAACGACTTTTTTTGGATCATACGACATATTCAGTACCTATAAAAGATTTTTTTGTTGTTTATTCTATGTTTAACACGAATACAATTTCAATACATAAATGCGGATTTTTCTTCCAAAGATATTTTCGTCAAACGTATACAGATATTACACATTTTAATATGGCAACACTGTCGCTTTCAGATCCACACCGTCTTCGATATGCCTTCGCTGGCCGAATTAGAGAAAATAGACAGTTAAAGTAAGGCACAATACGTATACGTCTCGACACGTAACGCTGAAACCTACGTTACGTCTGCCGTTGCGTTGTCGTGTAAACAAGAGTTAAAGCAAGCATTTTGACGTACGTAACGCAAATGGTACATTTGTAATTCTAAATTATTTTGTGAAACAATTTATCTGACTCTAAAACTGAAAATGGATATCTATTATTCCATTGATTCTGCATTAAATTTATAAAAGTAATATCGAAAAATGAAGAAAATTATAAATGGAAATTATTTTATTACAGAAAGTAGTCCTTATAACTTAAAATGCTCTTAGTAATAAAAAATATTGGAAAACAGACACAGTTTTATGATTATTTATTAGATTCCATCTTTTAGAATCCTCATATGGATTTTGGCTAAGAACTAGCATTTAATTAAATAGATTCCAAAATGAGTTTATTATGATGCTTAATATTTTCATACTAATTTATTGTAATAAAATAGGCCCAGTTCTGTTACACTGGCCCCAAGGTTTATGAAATAACTTAATTACTAGCCAGTTGTGGAAACGAGTTGTTTGTGAATGTGTACGTTCGGCATCATTCGGGTGAAAATCGAAACTCCTTGGGCTCGATACGTTTTGTACGTACGTAAAGGCATGTAAAGGTACGTATCACGTATCCGTAAAGGCAAGTGAATTTATCACTGCGCAAGCGTACATGTCAAACGATATGTTTACGTCTACGTCTTTGGCCGTGCTTTAACTGTCTAATAAGTGTTTTATGCGTTGACCGTAGAGTGACTGGTGTCTCCACCGTACAGCACGTGAGACGTAAGGGGAAATAAAATCAGCCTTGTCACGAATTCGCCCATTAGGTTGCGTATCTTCCCAATTCTTTCAATCGGTAATAGCATATTTTGCCTTTGCTGACGAACCGCACCTGAGCGTATGTTAACTAGCTGTTTAATCTAACATCGGACTAACATTTTTAGCCAAAACTTTATGACTAGCGGTTCGAAAAGGCTCTATAGAGGCTAATCCTATAAGCGATGAGAGAAGATTTAAGAGCACGGCGAGATAGTCTTGAGGTATTTCGGTTTTTAGCCTCTTTTGTCGTTCTAAGTTCGTGGCCCCACATGAGGCGCAAAGCGTATCGTAGAGCGGAGAGGAGCACGAAGCGTTTAAATGTATTAAAGTAAATGGAAGTGGCTCCTACATACGGCGAAGCGTATTGCGGATTGACGCGTATTTGCTCGCTGGTTGAAATTTTCACGCGTATTGCTCGTTTCGTATTAATACTATTAAAATCCGCCTGAAAACGCGCTACATGTGAGGCCACTCTCCGCTCTACGCGTCCAGCTTATGTTGGGCCACGGCCTAAGCCGGCCTTACACATGTCCAGTAATGCTTGTCATTTTCAAATAAAATGCCTGGCTAATACCGTTGATTGAAGAAATAAGAAGATGCGCAACCTTATGGGCGATTTCGTGGCACAAAACCTGTCCGAAATAATAATAATAATAATCGTCTTTATTGGAGAAAAATATGTGTAACATTACATATATTACACATCATGCAACAAGGGTGGCGAAATTTAACAAAAAAAAGTTATTCTTTTTTTGTTAAATGAGATGTAGCTGGCATTACCGTTAGCCTGTCCGAGATTTAGTTTAGCTCTGCGCCGCTTTGCGTTGATAGTCGTTTACAGTGCAGCAAATCAAGGTTACTATATTAAACAGGTTGCCTCGTAACTTTTTGTCCAATAGGAGCGAAGCTGCAACTACGTCACAGTTGATGCTACAGAACGTATAAAATCATAGATAAAGGAATAAAAAAATAAAATGCAACCGACAAAGATAGATAAATGGGCAATACAATAAAGAAAACACACATCAAACAACTGAAAACTATGGACGCCATACACTATAAACAATAAAGTACACAATGAATGTCGATTCGGAAATGCACTGTCAGACTGTCGGCAGTTTTTATCCCTTTATCTATGAGTGGTAGCATTTCTATGACGTAGTAGATGACGTTTCTGATAATTGCTGTCCTCCATTCGCGAATTTCAAGTTCCGGAGCTTTACGCCCTGGGCTACTCGAGAACGGTTCTGAAAGAAGCTGTGCGCGATGGCCTGGTGCCTCCATATGGCGCGGAACAGTTCTGAACTTTATGACTCAATTGAATGGAGTGAGAGGATCGCGTTCTTGAACAATTCAGAGCCGCGCAACTGCGTGAATGGAGGGCAGTAATTGTTGGATCTAATTACGAGACAACTTTATCTTTTAATAACCTTGGCAGCGGATAAAGAATACTCAGAACTCAGAAAACTGTACCGTAGTTCTGATTTCAGTCGACAGAGTAAGTAGTTGCCGGAGACAGTGTTACCAGAACTACTAATAAATCCGTAGATTTACGGATTATGGGTACAGTACGTTAATAATACAGGATAATACGAATTTTCTATCATTAAATATTTAATATAATATTATATGATTAAACAAAGAACGGCGTCGGAGTTGGCTTGGAAATGAAGATCGCTGTTATCTCATATGTAAAATATTATTGTAAATGTTAATAATTGTCATTTCCAAGCCAACTAAACGACTTTTTTTTGGATCATACGACATATTCAGTACCTATAAAAGAGTTTTTATTTTCTTTTATTTATTCTATGTTTAACACGAATAAATTTTCAATGCGTAAACGCGGTTCTTTTATCCAAAGATATTTTCGTCAAACGTATTACAGATATTACACATTTTAATACGGCAAGACTGTCGCTTTCAGATCCACACCGTCTTCAATATGCCTTCGCTGGCCGAATTAGAGAAAATAAGTGTTTTATGCGTTGGCCGCAGAACGATTGGTGGCTCCACCGTACAGCACTTGAGACGTAAGGGGAAATCTAATCAGCCTTGTCACGAATTTGCTCATTAGGTTGCGTATCTTCCCAATTCTTGCAATCAACGCTAATATACCTTCTTTGAGAAAGAAAGAGTTATTCAGAAAATATTTGAGCGACAAAGAAAAAGCATAAGCGATATTGGAAAATGAGTAGTTCGTGAAGAAGATAATTATTGACAAGTGTAGAGCCGGCATAAGATGTGCTGTAAGGCTTCTTTTCCTATTAAAAAAGCATTTACGAAAATTGTTAATGCTTTTAAATTATAGAGGCCTTCGGACACTTCTTAGTCAAGCATTTTTTGGTTCATATGACTGTTGGTTATGGTATTGTTTATTGTTTTATATTTAAAATCTACTAAATATGCTTAACCGCTTGTTCTGTGTGAAAAATCTATAGTTCATATCAAATAAACTTTTAGTCACGTGATTAAACTTGACCGGCACAGCGTTGCCCACTTTTACATATTTTCTTTTAATCAAAGTATTTGAGGCAACAAAATTAATTATAATTATATAAACAGTTATTAATGACATCAACAAACTCACCTTCTTAAGAGCACTTAATGTATATAAAGAGCCATTACTACCGCTGTCCCGTTCAAAATATTCTAATAAAGTTGCGATGAGTTTTTTACAGCTATTAAGCTATTTGGTACACTTCGCACTAAAAGAGATTCTAAAAAGAACAACGTTCGACTGCAAGGTCTGCTAGTTAAACCAAAAACTCGTAGTACAAAACTAAAATGTCAAAACGAATGTCAATGTCAGGAAATAAATAAATAAATAGGGCAACTTGAGATTTTTTACAGCAGAGCTACCACTTGAATCCCCAGCGGGAAATTTAAATTTCAGTTAGTCAGTACGGCGCCGAATATGTGCATGGTTGGCAACAATGAATTTAAAAATCGCGCCCTCGATTACGTAACTAAAAGTTTAATTGGTATCAAATATAGCAACATGCATGTTGAATTTGTTTCTTACTAACTAGTGGGTTTAGTTAGACTATTTTTTACTTTATGTTAGTATAGTATAGCTATTTCAAATGTATAACTTAATTAAAAAGTTGTATAATCAGGGATGTTTTCGTTATAGAACTTTTTGAGTATGTTCAGGGCTAACAGTGGTCTGTAAAACTTTATTATTTGCAAGAATGGATTACAAGCATAGCTATTATATTATTCATAAACCACTGACACACTGACATAATATAAACAAATCTACAAATATTCTCATCAAATGAATTTAAAATAGATTTACTTTTAGATTTATGACTGTATTGCAAATCGATGAAAAATAAGTATAGTCTTGAAAACTGTCGATTTTGGTTTGATTCATGGTATTGAGGGTCATATAAGTAGGGTTGCCAACATTCGAGGACGAGAAGGTAAAAAAGAGGCACAGGCGAAACATTTTTTGAAACCTCGCCCAATAAAAATGTCTAGAATTTACCAAATAGTTATGTAAACGGTATATGATTGATGATCTTTCTTACTTTCTTAAAAATATTGATACTCAAAATTTGTTAAAAAAAGCAAACCGTTTTCAACAATTTTCTTTCTTCAAAATATAAGCTAACAGTCAGTAAATATAAAATAGCTCGTAATATAGTTAAACATGTTTATCGCTTCTACAAATATTTCTTGTACATAAATATTTCCTTCATTTCTTTTTCTATATAAACGAGTGAGAGTAGCGAAAGACACAGATTAACAATTTTTTAAAGCATTGTGGCGATAGACTTTTTAAGATTTTGTTTGGTATGTAAAAAAGAGGACTTTTTCAATACGTGAGAAAAAAGAGGACAGTGAGATCAAAAAGAGGACTGTCCTCTGGAATAGAGGACGGTTGGCAACCCTACCTATATAAGACTACTGTTACTTAATCATTAAAAGGTGTAGAACACGAAAATATAGGCCAAACGAATGCAGATCTAGATGTAGACAAAATTTTAACTATCATAGATAATCGCTTCAAAACAAGGACTCAAACAATACATTTCCTCACAACACCAAAGCAAGTAAACCCTTAAAGGTTTATGTATTCTAAAAGCGCACACAATTTCCTATCAACCTTAGAATGTTCATCATTTTATTAATATGTTTACTAATTTTCCAAGACCTTTGAAAACTTGTAAAAACACTTGACTGAAGATTTCCAGACTGTCTCTATTTTAAATTCATTTGGTTAGGTTATCGCGACTTCACAAGTCTAAAAACCTACTTAATTGTGTTTAACGAAATTTGTTTTAGGCCCTTGCCGATGCTGAGAAAGGTAGCAGCGACAAGGCAGACTTCGAGAGAGCCATAGAGCTCACGGAATATGGCAAATTTCATTACTTGCTACTAGCAATATGCGGCCTATTGAGCACCTCGGAAGAGATGGACGTTATTGCGATATCGTTCATCCTTCCATCGGCACAATGCGACCTTAATTTGAACACACAGACGAAAGGATGGCTCAATTCAATCATCTTCGTGGGTAAGTAACCTGTTTTTTTTCAGTGGCGGCTTAACCATAAGGTCAAATGGTCAATGCCCCCCCAAAAAAATCGGAAGAAAATTAGGAAAACCCTATTTAAGTTATACTGTTTGTAAATAACTTTTTTTCATCCTAAGATATTCTAAGCTATTCCCAAAAACCATCAATTTGTTTAATTTTCGCTTCAAGACGTTTTATTTTACCCATTTTCTCTACTGCCGGTCAAAATTTCATTTTGTCCTTCGTTCCCGCTAAGTTTTGCATGTATTAAACTCCAAGGGCCGCGGCTTGTAACGCCAACAAGGTAAGGTATACTACGTATAGAAAATATAACGAGTTAAGGTGCGATAGATATAGTTTATATTGGCCATTGACCGCGTCATTCATAAAAGGATTTCAGTCGTTGGAAAAATTTCGCCGTATGGGCAGTTTGGGTGTTTATAAAAACTCAAATTATAGAACAACCTAGTTTTTTGTATCGTTTATCGCGTATAATATTTGGTTTAGTCAATATAAAGCAATATTTAAATTTTTAATATCGAAAAAAATCCCATCTAGTTTGAGGTGTAGCGAGAAATTTGTGTAGGTAATAATTCATAATTTTCTGGTTATGGGTAAATGATGAACTATGGTTGACTGATTCTGGAATAGGTATTTTAAAATAGACAACATGGTGTTTAGTTTGTGAGATCGTACGGTTAAAAGAAAACAATTGCTTAAATTTCGAAAAACGTTTAGAGAAAGAACGCCGCATTGACTTAAAATATGAAAAAATGTGAAATAAAACTTTTAGAATTGTGTATGTGTATATATGCATTTATATTTTTGTGACATTATTATTTATGTATATTTTAAATCCCACCGTGGAAAATTTGTGTAAAGAACATTTACTGGATTTTTAGTGAAATGGCCCTAGACCACCTGTTTAAAAATGTAAGTGTAGGTTTCATTTTACCAGAATTTATATTTATTTTTAGATTTATTTTCCTTTAACTAAACCTACAAGTACCTTGTAAGAAACCAATTAAATTTGGGCGCGTCTTAAAAAAATCGACGCAATATTTTTAGATATTGACCTCCCTACAATAATGACCACGAGCCGCCACTGATTGTTTTGCAAGGTGAGATTGTCTATTTGCTAATTTTTTTCTTCTGTTGCAGGGATGATTGTCGGAGCCTATTCAGTGGGTTCAGTGGCGGACGCAATAGGCCGAAAAAAGGTGCTGATTGCAAGCTCATTCATGAACGCTCTGTGCATCGTGGCTTCAAGCTTCAGCCAGTCATATGAGTGGTTCATGCTCTTCAGATTTTTAAACGGTGCGGCGTAAGTATCATTTCCAGAATTCATTTTTCAGCATCGTTTTTACAGAGAAACTTAACTTCTACAACTTTAGACACAAGTAAAGTCCTTTTATAAATCAATCAAAACGAATTAGGGATCACATATATGTGTGTCTGTATTTACTATGTTTATAGACCGATCTCCGTATATTTATAGCAGCATATAATCAGAACAATTTTGTTTTTTTTTTCATGCAAAAATTGATACAAAAACGACATTCTTTCCTGTCATAAAAAAATAACGGTAAAGATGCACTCGAAGACGCATCAATTCCATAAAATCAATTTCTTATTTAGTGTGATTTTGCCTTGATCGTCAAAATTGGTGTTAAATATGGCAAATTTTGATGTTCTGGGAAGACCAAACGGTGCTAGACGGCGTTTAAATACTGAAGAAGTCATCAGAGCCACAACTTTATTGCAGGAGGGTCGGTCGCAACGATACGTGTCGCAGCTTTTTGATGTTACACAATCGGTTATTTCCAGACTATGGAATCGACACAGAGAATATGGTTATGTTGTCCGCAGACCATATCCTCAACGAGTAAGGACAACGAGGAGGGAAGATCGATATATCTTGTTCAAGCTGCTGTTCATGAAAAGGGAGAACTTACCGCAAAAAAAACTACAAAATCTTCATCTACATCTATTTACGATCGCCACAGGAACTCAAATTTCAAGTCAAACTCGACTAAATAGGCTGCACGAAGTTAACATTCGATCAAGGCGAGCAGCTGTTGTGCTGCATTTAACTTCTAATCATCGTAGGGCACGAGGGATGCTCAAGAACATCTTCACTGGGGCGTGGATCAGTGGAAGCACGTCGTTTTACGGACGAGTCCCGTTTTCGACTAAGTCATAGCGATGCCCGGCGGAGAGAATACGGAAGACTGAATGAACGGTATCTGGATATAGCAGTCAGAGAAGCGATACATGAGGTTCTGTCATGCTAATTTTTTTCTTAGGGGAGATAACTTTAAATGGGCGTACGGACTAGCATGTGTTTCTAGACGGCATAATTAATCCTAAACGATACAGAGATGAGATTCTTGAACCATATTAACATATGATTCATATAATATAACTTCCAATATTCATATAACAATAACTTCCATTTGCTGCTCAGCATAGTCCAGAATTCATCTTACAACAAGATAATACCAGGCCTCATACTGCAAGAGTAGTTACTCGATACCTTAAAGAGTCCAATATCACAATAGTGGATTGGCCTGCTAATAGCCCTGATCTCAGTCCTATTGAGCACCTTTGGGACCTACTAAAGAGAAGACTACAAAGTCGTCCACAAACACCAGATCTTCAAACTTTAGGAGAAAATCTTCGAGAGGAGTGGAATGCCTTTCCTCAAGCGATTATTCGGAGCCTCATTCAGTCTATGGCAAATATGTGTGCAGAAGTACCTAGAAACCGCGAAGCACACATTATTAGGAAAAAAAATGTCTGTTGGCAATTCAGATAAAAATTGTTTAGCATTGTTTTCGATACATATTGTAGTAATTCATAACGTAATAAAAATACAATTTTCAGCAGTTTGACAACTTTTTTCGTCATGAACACAGTCAAGGTGCATATCCATTTGAATTACATTCAAACTTAATTCATAAGGAACATATTGCTACGTTTATATGTATATAAATAGGTATATTTTCTTTGTTTAAACGAAATTTATCAAAGTGATCCCTAATTCGCGTTTGATTTGTTTTCTTGTTCCTTCTTTATCATTATAAACACATAATAATTAATGACCCATATCTTATTACGTAAGAAGTTCTCGAGGCGCTAAAATTGTATGATTTGGCCAGCACAATAAGTTTTCAAATCTTTCTTTTCCTTGACAATTAATGTGCTAATTTGCCTAAATGATTACCAGTCGTTTAATAATTCGCATGTAATTCCCAAACTGGTCGGTGATTATTTGCACAATAGCTGGTCGAAAGTTATGAGATGACCCGATTTACTTTCCGTAAATTTAGATGGGTTCATTTCTAATCATTAACACTGCATACATTATGCGATGTGTGCTAACGTTTCGATTTTTTAATTATTTCAGACTAGGGGGTAGCGGGCCTACAGTTTGGTCCTATTTTGCAGAATTTCAACCTAAATCTAAGCGTGGAAGTATGCTGTCGTTCATGGCGGCTTTTTGGACCGTAGGAAACCTATTTGTGGCAGGCCTTGCCTGGCTAATCATTCCTGCGGAGATCGGCTTCAGAACAGCAAGTTTCGTGTACAATTCGTGGAGAATATTCCTCGTGGTAATGGCCTTACCATCGATGCTAGTAGCTATTCTACTATGCTTTTTGCCAGAGAGTCCGAAATATTTATTAACCAGAGGAAAAAGCGACGAAGCCATAGCTATATTTAGACATATCTATCACGTGAATACGGGTAACGATGCCGAAGAATATCCAGTTAAGCATCTCATCTTAGAAGAAGAATACAAAAAGGCTTTGGAGGAGGAGGCTAGCCATAAGAAACGAGGCAAAATCAGCTCCACTATTTCTAGCATATTGGACAACAGTAAACAGCTTTTTGTCTCGCCGATTTTAAAGTTCACAATGATTTCCATTTCCATTAATTTTACGTTTCATATCGGGTAAGTACGACACACTTATGTGAAAAATAGGACTAATTCTACTGTTCCTTTGTAGCTACTATGGACTGTTGATTTGGTTTCCCGAATTGTTCAACCGCTTCGACGAGTTCAATCGCTTGAGACCAAACGAAACAGCTAGCGTTTGCGAAGTTACCAACTTCGTGGTCAACATGGGAAGCCAGCAACACGGTGCTATTTGTAACGAGAAAATTAGCCAATCAGTGTTTATGGAATCACTAATCACAGTAGCGGCCGCACTTCCTAGCAACATCATAGCTATTTTAGGCATGGACAGACTTGGTAGAAAATTCTTCTTAGGTAAATACGTTCTGGCACTTGCTAATTTTACATAATAAAAACGGAATTTTATTTTAGTTTTCAGTACACTTTCATCGGGTACTTGCGCAGCCTGTATGTATTTTGTTTATAACAAGACCCTTAATTTGGTAGTATCGGCTACATTCAGCAGTGTAATCTCTTGCGGTAACGCTGCTCTTGATTGTTTGATCACGGAAATATTTCCAACCAATTTAAGGTAACTATATACAATATACCCTTCGATACTAAGGGCTAGCAAAGGTTAGTCTTGGGTCGAGATTTCCGTATGTAAGAAGAGTACAATGCGTTTATAATGTACTGAACAAAGAGAGAACAATAAACACGTTGCCAAACGTCTGAAATAAACCGAGAAACTGTGCACTGTGTGCACATTGCTAAGAGACGTGGAAGGGGATATAACAGATTTGTCGCAGTTGACTGGTCGACCCAATCAGTACCAGTGTCAGTACTTAAAGTTCTAGGGAAAGTGTACATCATATGTTCAGCTTCGTGATTTAATTACGTCTCGTGAGACTTTATTTGTTTATTTATTAACGAGTCGTAATTTTAACTATAGCTTGAAAATTTTTAAGTGCAAGCTAGAAACATTTTTGGTAAAATAAATGGAATTGAGTTGGTGTTCGACAGTGGTCGCGCTATTAGAACTCTGAATTCAAAAATCGATATCTCGAAATCTATTAGAAATAATTGATTGTAGTTTTTTCAAAAACTTGCTTAATATTTCTGCTGTATTTTCTTCGTAGATAGTATGTGAACATTTTTATCAATATAAAAATTACACGATTGCTGAAATTTGCTGTTCTCAAAACGGATGGGTTGTTTACAATTTTTGAATGGAAAAAAAACAACCTTATCCAGTTTTTCTTATGTTAACATATTGTAAAAGTTCCGATCTTCAATAAAAAAAAAGTTTCAATATCTAAAATGGTTCCTGAGTTATGGCGTGTTATGTGTTAAAAAGTTGAGTTTTTAAATTATCGCGATTATTGACGTTTTCTCGTTATAAAAAAATGACACCTTAACGATATCCTTATAATTCCATTTCAGATGCTCAGAAACATGTCTAATGATTTTATCTAGTTACCTTTTCGAAAAAAAAAAAATATTTCTTTTAAAAATAAGCGGTTTGCGATTGTGATTTTACTTTACTTGACAGGGAAAGGCGTACCGGCAACATCGCAACAGCACACCGTCGCATTTCTCTCACTCCGACTTAATAACATCCCTACCCGATTTACTTCCACACATGTAAATACCGACCCAAAAGTAACAGTTGCCAGCCCGGTATACCCAATAAATTTAAAATACACGGTGCTATAAATCGGGGTACGAGCATTAGTATCTCGGTAACCGTAATAGATACGAACATGGTTAAATTGGGGCAAAGTTGCACTTTAGGATGTTCACCAAGATGCCATCAAAAGAGTTTTAAAAATTTCAAGGATTGCCGAGTTTTTTGGAAAAAACGGATTTTTTTGAAAATCAATTTTATTTTTTCCTGTCGTTACTTTTTAAAAAGTAAAAAACAAAACTAATTGCACATTCTCACAGCCACTTTATTAGCGCTATCTGATAGTATTTTTAGATTTTCAAATTAGCTAATAATTTGTGAGATACAGAGGCCAACTTAATTTTTTTAAATGCGAACCTGCATTTTTTATTTCAGTTTTTGAAAGAACTCGGTCTCCTGAGTACAATGATATGCCACACTTAATATTTTTTGTTTGGGGTAACTATATAGGACATTTAAACACAATTTATTTAAACTAATTTTAAGTCCGGCTCTGTTTTTTTTAAATATTTAATCTACTTATCGTTACAATATTGATAAGCTTTAAAACTTAACAATGACGTGGGGTAAAAAATTGAATATGGAAAATCAAATGCAATATAATAATAGAAAAAAAATATAAAATAAATAATATAAATATATAATATAATATTAACAATTAAATCATTTTCTTTGAATTTTTTCTTAATTTTAAAATAATAACTACGATTAATATTATGCATATTGTTAGATCGTACACTGAGATTTCAAATTCACAGTAAAAAAAGTTAAAAATAATATCTTTAAATTGCTGACCTAGATATTATTTATTTGAATCTTTGAATTGGCTCGATTTTGCTTATTCAGTGTTAATTAGTGCTGATCAATATTGTTGCGATGAATATAACCAGATTAAATAATTTAAGAAAACAGAGAGAGTTAAATATTTAAAAAAAAAGGACTTGAAATTATATTAAATAATAATTAAATAGTTTTGTTGGTTTGGTTAAGGTACCCAAAACAAAAAAAAGTAGTAATTGTGGCATATCAGTGTACTCAGGAGACCCAGTTCTTTCTAAACCTGAAATAAAAAATGCAGGTCCGTATTTAAAAAAATTAAGTTGGCCCCTGTATCTCACAAATTATTAGCTAATTTGAAAATCTAAAAATACTATCAGAGAGCCCTAATAGAGTGGCTATGAGAATGTGCAATTAAGTGTTTGATTTTCTAAAAAGTAACGACAGGAAAAAATAAAATTGATTTTCAAAAAAAAACGTTTTTCCAAAAGACTCAGCAATCCTTGAAATTTTTAAAACTTGTTAAATGTTCGTATCTATTATGGTTACCGAGATATTAAAATGCTCGTTCTTCGAGTTTGTAGCACCCTGTATACCCAATAAATTTAAAATATAATTACTATATTTAATTTGGCAGGGCTACTGGGATTGCTATATCTATGGTGGCAGCTCGTCTGGGAGGTATCATCGGTAATATAGTGATCGCCACGCTGTTGGATATGTATTGCCCGGCTCCTACGTTCATTGTTGCAGCTTTGCTCATAGGCGGTGGTCTTCTATGCTTGTTCTTACCAAATACAACTCGTGAACCTTTGCATTAATGGATCTATCTTAAATAAGAAGAAAGTGTTAAATTTATAAATTTATTTTTAACATTTCACATTTGTTTCATCCATTGTAGATATTTGTATTCATTATAGAGTTTATTTTAGTAGTTTTTTTTTGTTTCGTTAGAGTTAACTAGTTGTTTTTAACTTTATTGTTAACCAGATAGGTAACTTAATCGCCAAGTTGGTGGAAACATTTACTTGTCTGAAAATTGTCTTTTCTAGTGTGAAAAATATATTATTATAAAAACTTTTCTTTAAGAAATGCTTTTGATTTAAACCATCACCCCAGTCCAAATCCACTCCAAATATTTCTATGAATTATAACGCAGAAAAAGCTACCTATATACAGATATAGATTAATCTGTTGTAGATATATTTAAAAAACAATATTATTATTGGTATTTTTCTTCTAGTTTTTATTTAAGTAAAAAAAAATATCGATAATTTTAAAAAAATAAGAAACCGTATCGATATCTCTCACAATATGTCCGTTACTAACGATGACGGTTCCTCATATAGACTTAAAATAATTATATATATTATTTTAAGTCTATATGGTTCCTCACGAGCGCGGAATTGGGAACTGAATGACTGTATCATAACTGAATGTCAACTTATAGTTTCGCGGCGTTAAAAGTTTAACTCTTGTCTAAAGGGTTTAACGGTTTAACTTTCAAAATTTGACCGCAAGGACCTGGAAGTGTCAGGGTCACGGGAAGCCTTAGAGAAGTCTGTAGAGAATTAACAAAAAAAAGATTATACAGGGTGTTTCAAAAAACATGTGCCATCTCTCGTGGGAAGATTCTTCACCTAAAAATGAGATTTATTTTTCATATCAACATAGATCCGATTCTGCTTTGTTTCGTAGCTACAGGGCGTTAAAATCTTAATATTTTTTCGATATATTATAATTTTCTTCCAAGTACTTTTAGCGTTATTTCGAATGAAATTTTGAGGATAAAAGTTACTATAAATGCGACACATTTTAAAGCTAGAAAAGTGTCGGCATATTCACCAGGGACGTGCAGATGGGTTATCACTGGAATATTTTTCTAAAAAAGCATGTCGTATGCCACTGACTTTTTTTCTCTTATTAGCGAAATAGTGTAAGCAATTTAATGCCGATTAAAAGTTGTCTCTTGATATCTTGTCGATTTCGGCCTCCTTAATGAGATAAATGGAATTTTATTAATTTGCCTTGATCCAAGTCTAACAGCAACCTTTAAAAAAAATAATATCATTAATTTGCAAAAGTTTTAAATAAGTACTCATCGATTCCTTATCAAAAAATATGAAAAAAGTTCCTATAAACATGGGTATGGAAATGCATAGTTTTAGAGATGCGAGTTACAGAATGTTAAAACTTTTCAAAATTATATATATAGGTTTTTTGTAATTATCTTAAATACCATTATTTTTTTATTTGAAATTGTAGGTTGGACTAATAGTAATAATAACTAATAGTAATAATATTTAATAATAAATTAGGTAAAATATATACAATTTATTAATTTTATTAATTGTGATTAATAAAATTGCGTTTATCTGATCAAGGAGGCCGAATTCGACAAAATATCAAGAGATAGCTTTTAATTGGCATTATACAGCCTATACAATTTTGATATCAAAAGAAAGAAAGTCAGTGGCGCACATGTTTTTTTTTGAAAAATATTCCAGTGATAACCCATATGCACGTCCCTGTGATGATATCGACACTTTTTTAGCATTAAAATATGTAGCACTTATAGTAACTTTTACCCTCAAATTTTCATTCGAATCACTAAAAGTACTTGGAAAAAAATTGTTATAAATCGAAAGATTATTAAGACTTTAACACCCTATAGCTACGAAACAAAGCAGAATCGGACCTATATGTTGATATGAAAAAGCAAGAAGTCTTATTTTTACGTGAGGAATTTCCCCACGAGAGATATATATGGTACATGTTTTTTGAAACACGTACCCTGTATAAAATTTTGTAGCATATTTTTATATCATTATTTTTTTCCCTCTAATTTGTGTCATAATAAATAAATATTATTATAAATATTATTACTGGCGTACGATTTTGTATTCAAGCGAATATTCGCAGTTATCATTATGGAATAAACTGACGCAAAGTGTAACGTAAGAAATTTGGGCGAAATTTCGCTTTTCCGCGCTCGTGAGGAACCACCTTTAATGAGGAGATTAGCGTAGCGTTTTGATCCCTTTTTTGATCCTTTTATTTTAATTCGCCATTTTGTCAAGTAGCTAACCAGAGTAGCTAACAAACAGCTAACAAACATGGAAAAGCACTGTACTTTCAAGTGTTATATATCAATGAAGAGTAGTGTATTGTATAACTTCATTTTTAGAGATTAGTTGAAATATTGATTAAAGTATTTTTAGAAAAGTTTTTATTTATTTAAATATTATTATTATTATTTCTAATATGATATATCAAACCTTACCTCTATATCTCTGAATTGTTCCTTTTCCTCTGCGACGAATAATTATATATGATTGTTTATTGTTTCGTCTTGCAGACACTTAAAACCTTTTCGTAACTTGGAAGCCGTGAAGCCACTGAATATTAAAGAAGAAAAATTAATGTTAAAACTCATGTTTAATGAAAGAAGACAAATGTCAAAATCAGCTGCTTACTACATTTGTCAACAACCACTATGTGAAAGTTTATTAAATTTTATAAAAATATTTGTTCTAATTGAACACGTATACTAAAATTAATAAAAAAACAATTTCAATCAATTTGGTAAATATTATCTTATTTATCATTTTAAGTCAACCAAATTTTATTTTTGACCTTCATAATAAACCTCTACTTATTTTGAAAATTTGAATATCATTGATGTAATCCGTTATTTTTAGAAAAGTGATAGTAGTTTTTGTGATTAACAGTTCATGATGGAATATGGATAACTTTGATACAGATTCTAACGATTCTTATCACTCTGGTAGTTTTTTATCCAATGCTTCTAGCTTGTCTGGATTGAGCTTGTATGAAAATGAATTTGTGGAGTTAAGGCATTTTGTGAACCCTTCCAAGTACCCAACATCAACTGTAAAAAGAAATTCAACGCCCAGAGTTCATTTGGAGACTGTAGATGTACAACGAAAAATTCAAAATTTACAAAATGACTTGGACAGTAGTTTGCAACTCAATGTTAAATATAAAAATGACTTGGTCCATTTAGAGCAAAAAATTGAAGCCAAATTTTGTGACAAATTAGAAAAATTAACAAGAGATAACAAAATACTAGAAGGACAATTAGAAAATGCCAATGGTCAGATTAAAAGGTTAATAAAAAATTATAAAGATCAAGATAGCCTAGTTTTGTTTGCTGATAAACTTAATTTGGAAAATAGAATACAAGATTTATCTTATCAAACTAGAAAATTGGAAAAAGAATGTGCCATTCTCGAGAAAGAAAGAGATAGTGTCAATTTAGAAAATAAGACTATAAAAATTAGTTTAGCTGAGCTTACAACCAATTTGGATATTAGAAAAATTGCAGTTCAAGACCTGAAAGAAAAAGTAACTCAACAACATGTAGAAAACCAAAAATTAAGTCAAAAAAATACAATTTTGTCTGAAAAATTAAATGCTGTAAGTGCCAAGTTAGAAAACTGTGAGAAATCAAACAATTGGTATAGAGAAAAATTGAAAGTGTTACAGAATGATAATGAAAATGCTATTAAAAGTATTTCAAATTATAAAAGTGAAGTTAATTGCTTACAGGATAAGATATCTAGTTTAAATATTGAATTATGTAAGTGTAAAAATGAAATTGACCAAGTGAGATTTCAAGCTTTACAAGAAAAAGAAACTTTATATGCTAAATTAGAAAGTATAAACGTAAATTTTAATTTGCCACAGAAAAGTATTAATAATAATATAAATGTACCTGATTTAACTTCCTATGATTTGGTAGTTGAAGATTTAAAGAGTGAAATTAGTAGATTAAAGACTATATGTCAAGAAAAGGATGCAGAATTTGAATTTTTAAAAAAAGAAAATTCCGATATACTCGCCAAGTATTTGATATTACAAAAACAATTTCAGCAACTTGAAAATAAATCTGAGCAGCTTGAAAAGTCTAAAAATTACATTCTTAAGAAAAACGAGTTTTTGAATGAAAATTTGAAGGAAAAACTGTGTGAGAATTTGCAACTGAAAAATAAAATAGTTAGGATAGAGGTACAGCTTAAAACACAGAATGAAGAAAAAAGATGTACAGAAGATCAAGTACAAGTTATCAGGAATCAGGTTCTATCGTTTAAAATGAATTATGAAAAGGTAAGTTTTTAATTTTAACTTTTATAAACGTGTAAATTTAAGGAATATTTTTTTTAAGATTAAAAACGAATTAAATGTAAGAAATAAAGAAATGCTGGAACTACACAATGACAGGCAGCAATTGTTTATGAAGCATAATTGGGCAAAATGTGAACTAGAAAAATTTAAGGAAAAAGATACAATCACTGATAGTTTGAAAAAAGATATTTTGAGTCTGGAACAGAAAATTAGTGAACAGAATAAAAACATAACACAATTAAAATTTGAAATATTAAAAAAGGAAAAAATTGTTGAAGTTAAAGAGAACTGTATTGGTGAGAAGCAAAAAGAACTTGATCATTATGATTTAGTAATTTTGCAATACAAGAACATGCATTCTGAACTTGAGAATAAAATAAATTCGTTACAAAATAATTCAAAAACTCTTGAAGATGAAAATATCAGGTTGAAAAATAATATCAGTATTATTAAAAATGAATTAAAAAGTACACAATTGAACTTGGATAATGCACTTGAGAATACTGAGCAACTTAAAATTGATCATGCAGCTACGGTAGAGGGATATGAAGTTAAGAATAATATTATGTCAGAATCGCTTATTAATACAAAAAAAGAATTTAATCTTAAGCTAGAAGAAAAAGAAACAATTATAAATGATCTTCAAGTTAAACTTAAGAAGCTGGAATCTGAGTATGGAATATATTTAAAAAGAAATACAGATGATCACAAAGTTGAGTTGTTGAATTTGCTTAATAATGACAAATTTCTTCTTCAAGTTTTTGATAGGTTAAATTTGGATGAGTTTGAAAAATCTGTGGGAGTAAGGTTAAAACATCTCGAAGAAAAAATTCAGAGAGGTAATGCTGAATGTTATGATATAAGAGAAAAAATCAAAGAAAAAGACAGCACAATTAAAGGTTTGGAATTACAACTTCAAGTTAAAGCAAGGGAAATGCAGGATAAACAACAAAAGTAAGTTGAAAAAATATTTGCAAATTGTATAGGATTTTTTTCTTTTCACTATTTTTTTGAATTCTAATTAGAATTATGAAATTGTTAAAGGACTATAATAGGCCCATAATTTAAAATTATTTTTATGTTAGTACCTACAGAGTATCCCAAATAAAGAAATATATTAAAGCTGTATTTTTTAAAAGTTAAAGTAGTTGGAAGCTGGAAGATAAAAAAATTTTAATATACTTTTTTAGATATGATATTTTTACATAAAATTATTTGCTTCTATAGGGTGGTCCAAAATCATATTATGCATTTGTCAAGGCAATCAAAAACGGCAAAAAATTTCAAAAAAAAAACACTCTATCTAAAGATAGAGTGTTTTTTTTTATTTTGGCATATACAGGGTGTCTCAGACTGAGCGTGCATTAGAAGTTTCTAGAGAACTACAATACCTAGATCGGGGATTTTTTGCACATCATTGTTTCACAATGAGATATATTGATTAAAGATATTTTCAATAGGTATGGCGGCACTTCCGGAAATACCGGAACTTGACAGCAACTTTCTCATTTTAAATGGGTACCCCATTTTTTATTACATATTTAATTCTCTATAAAATTTTATGAATCTTGATAGCAAACACTTTATACCTAATGCTAACCGTTTTTGAGCAAAAAAAAAATTTGGAGAAAAAACGCCTGTCAAGAAAAATTGAATAGTCTAAACTTCAAATTTAGTGATTACCACAGCCACTGTGGCATAAAGAGAAGACATGTAGTAGCTATCTATTTCAAAATAAAATTGTTTGAATGTTATATAATATTGGCCGTAGCTGTCATAGAATTGAATAAGATTAAAAAATCATTATAAAAGATTTTTTTATATGGAAACCTACTTTGTTTATTGCACTAGTGAAAAGGTTTGTTAATTTGTTACTTTTTGATTATACATGTTCCTTCACCTAAAATTAATCGTTTTTATGTTATTTAAGATTTAGTTTTAAAGCATATATTTTTCTGGTTTTTGACCAGTAACCTATGACTTTAAACGTCAAGCCATGTAAAATAATATACCTATCTAGCCATGTCATATTGCGACCCTTTGTTAAAAAATCAGTCATCGATAGTCATTTCCAACCGAATTTTGTGCCTTTTTTTTCGATTATGCTCTATGTATATTATCAATCAACTATTAGATATCATTAAAATACAAGATATATTTTTATAAAAACACTTTATAAAGTTTAGAGGAACAAAATATTTTAATGAAAAAAACAAATTTTTTAAGAACAATCATTTCCTGATTTTTTTTGCATTAATTCATTTAAACCCTGTAGAACAATAAAAGTTACACGTACATTTTTTGCTGTTTACTGTTTAGCTAGAAATTATTTCGACTTAATTCTTGGACACCCTGTATAAGTTAATATTATTTTCATTGTTCCAACACAATATCTAATCAATACAAAAAAATATCAATTTTAATGGTTTTTAATAGCCTTTTACTAAAAATTTAAAAACAAAGAAGGTGCTTCGTTTAAGAAAATTTTAAAACAATGTTTTTATTTATATGAGACTGTTACTGAGTATGTTACTTTACTTAGTAAAACTTATTTTAAATTGTAGTTCTAATAAAAAAAATTAAATCATTTTATGGAATTTTCATTGTTTAGAGAATAATTCTGTATAGGCTTGGTGCATTCTTTTTCACATTATTTTTACTACCCAAAACATTACACCACACAAACCTCGTACCTGAGAAGTGTATAATTGCAATAACTGCACTAGTAGAAACTAAAATACTTAAATTTTATTACATAGCCACGATTTCAATACTATTTCAATGCGATGAGCGTGAACTGTAACCGGGACGGCATGAAATAAAGTAGCCGGAGAGTTCTGATTTCTGCCGTACCGAGTGCTGCTGTTGGAATTTAAAAAAAATAGTTTGAAATGAACCAAACCTATAAAATAGTGACTTATATGGTTTCCCTTAATTTTTTAATATACTAAAATCTATTCTTTTTCTTCAGAAATGATCGAAACAACCGCACATTGCTTCGTAAACTAAAAGAACACATGAGAGGACGAAACTCATCAGAAAAACAACTCAAATACCTGCAAGATTTATACGATTCACTTTCTGACAAGTACAACACATTAATGCTTTCAGTAACATCTAAGGATTGTTCAATAGAGTCTTTAGAAGAAGCATCACAAAAATACAAAACAGAAGTTAAAAAACATAAAGATGTTATATTAAATCTAGAAAATAAACTGTCAGAAGTGGGACATTGTGCTAAATGCGCATATTATGAAACTACCTGTGATAAATTGAAATTCCTTGAAAAGTTTTGTGCAGAGGTACAAGAAAAAAATAAGGATATAAATAGTGAAGTAATTGCATCTAAAGAAACTATACATAATCTAAACTTGCAGGTAAATTAGTTTATTTTATGCACTCAGGTGCAAAAAACGCAACGTAAAATATTTGTTTAAAATGATATATTTTTTTTATTTTTAGCCTTAGTTTCTTGATTTTTTAGCAAACTGTAAATTTTAGTATTTGACTTATTATACAAGGTTAATCAAAGAATTGTTTTTTCCCTATCTTTAAAGCACTGTGCAATAATTTCGTGAGCAAATTTTTCTAAAATATTATTTTTCGGTCAGAACCATGTTTTCTGAATATTTTGTTTTTTGACTCATGTCAACACATGCCTTGGCTAATATTTAAGAGCAAAATGAACTTGGCACAAACATTTTGCAATTTTTTCAGTTATTGTAACTTTGTGGTGAACTGATATTTTTGCAAATAGGTATAAATAATTAAAATAATTAATTACATACAAGGTCAAGCGCCTTTTATAATCTGCAAAGTGCAGTAAGTAAAATTTTGTCACACGCTGAGAAAAAAAATCCCAGGAACCGTCGAATGTTGGCCTCCGTTCGAGGTCAGTAATGAAAAAGAAGTGGTTCTACATCGAAAATGTGAGGAGACGCTTCGCGTGGTAGTAGCAGAAGATGTTTCGATCCCTGAGCGCTGTGAGATATTTTTGAATGGTTGCCTGGAAGGTAAAATGAATAATGGGAGTATTATTCTGTTGGAGCCAAGAAACCATGACAGCGAAATAGGACGAGGGTTCGCTGTTGGAAAAGCCCTGCTACGAGCGAAGAAGTCTGTACCGGTAAGAGTTGAAGAAGGGTACAGAGAAGAAGGATACTGTATCCTTGAAGAAGGATACAGTACCCTGTTAGGGTACTGTTGTTCGGTCTCCTCAGTCATTCGAAGCGTGGAAGCCTCCAAAGTTTCGACTTCAAAAATTCCGGACAAAATGGTGAAGGAGTTAGTAAACGTTAAGGGATTATCTCCCGAAGATAGTAGAAAATTGAGAAACCTGATAATCAAGTATCAAGATGTGTTTGATAAAGGACATAGAGGTCGTACCAATTTAGTACAACATAAAATTGACACCGGAGATGCACGACCAATCAAACAAAATCCGAGAAGACTTCCGCTCGCCAAACTTGAAGAAGCTGACAAAATCTTTCGAGAAATGAAAGAAGAGGGTGTCATCGAACCATCTAACAGCCCATGGACATCGCCGGTAGTACTAGTAAAGAAGAAAGACGGTACCACCAGGTTCTGTGTTGATTATCGGCAGCTCAATAATGTTACCAAGAAGGATAGCTATCCCCTGCCGAGGATATACGATACTCTAGACACGCTGGCGGGGTCAACGATATTCTCCACGTTAGATCTGAAGAGTGGATATTGGCAAGTCGACATGGCGCCGAAAGACAGAGAGAAGACAGCGTTCTCGGTGGGCTCCGGACTGTGGCAATTTACCGTCATGCCTTTTGGATTGTGCAACGCGCCAACTACCTTTGAGAGACTAATGGAGTCTGTGTTAAAGGGACTATCCTGGACTACCTGTTTAGTGTACCTGGATGACATCATAGTGGTTGGGAAATCCTTTGACGATCATCTGAAGAATTTGGAAGAAGTTTTCAAGCGACTAGGGAGCTCTGGTTTGAAACTTAGCCCCAAGAAATGTCATCTGTGTCAAGAAAAGGTACACTACTTGGGCCATGTAGTTTCCTCCCAAGGAGTTGCGGTAGATCCACAGAAGACCAAGACAGTGGAAGAGTGGCCGATACCTAAAGATAAACATGAACTACGAAACTTTTTGGGACTATGCACATACTATCGCCGCTATGTACAGGGTTTCGCCACCATCACAAAACCATTGACCAAACTTACCGAAGGCGAGAGGCGTTTCTCTTGGGACTCAGATTCTGACGAGGCATTCCGAAAATTGAAGAAGGCCCTGACTAGTGCGCCCATACTTAGCTACCCTCTTGGCAACGGAAACTTTATATTGGATACCGACGCTAGCAATGTTGCGTTAGGCACTGTTCTGTCTCACATCCAGGATGGTCAAGAAAAAATCATTGGTTATTTTAGTAAGACCTTGTGAAAACTGGAAAGGAACTACTGTGTAACCAGACGAGAATTACTAGCAGTAGTTAAAGCAGTGGAACACTTCTACAAGTATCTCTATGGAAGAAAGTTCTTGTTAAGAACAGACCATGCTGCTTTGAAATGGCTGTTGCAGTTTAAGAATCCTGAAGGGCAGATAGCTAGATTGAACGATTACAAGAATTTGACTTCGACACAGAACATCGAGCTGGAGCAATCCATCGAAATGCCGACGCACTTTACAGAAGACCTTGCGCTAAGGACTGTAAGCATTGTTCCCGAGCAGAAGAGAAAGAAGTGAAACTCCTAAGAACAACTGTGGTTAATGATAGTTGGCAACCCGAAGATCTTGCAAATGACCAAACCAGTGACCCAGAATTAGGTTTAGTAATTAACTGGAAAACCCCAGGCCAAAGACCAACATGGGAAGAAGTTTGCAGATATTCGCCGAACGTAAAGACGTACTGGGCCCAGTGGAATTTCTTGGTAATAGATAACGGACTACTTCGCCGTGTGATCGAGAGACCGGAGGGACAAAAAGAGAGAAGGCAGATCGTCATTCCAAAGAAGAGGGTCCCAGAAGTCTTGGAGGAAGTTCACAATGGAACCAGCGGTGGACATCTTGGTGTTAGCAACACACTTGGCAAGCTGCGTGAACGGTTCTACTGGGTGAACTGCAAAGAAGATGTGAGGGCCTGGTGTAAGAAATGTGACATTTGCGCAGCCATTAATGGGCCACAAAAGCGTGGTAAAGCCCCTATGCGCCAGTACAATGTTGGTAGTCCCTTCGAACGAATAGCGATCGACGTGGCTGGTCCTTTCCCGGAGACGAACGATGGCAACAAATACATTGTGGTAGTAATGGATTACTTCAGCAAATGGGTCGAGGCCTACGCGTTGCCAAATCAAGAAGCGTCCACGATTGCTGATGCCCTTGTTAAAGAATGGATCTGCAGGTTTGGTGTTCCCATGGAGCTTCATTCAGATCAGGGAAGAAACTTTGAGTCCAATCTGTTCCAAGGCGTCTGTGAAGTCCTGAACATCCGCAAGACCAGGACGACTGCTCTACATCCACAATCCGATGGGATGGTTGAACGCATGAACAGAACTATCAACCGTTATCTGGCCAAAGTAGTCTCTGACCACCAAAGAGACTGGGACAAATTTCTTCACCTGTTCCTGTTGGCCTACCGTTCATCCGTCCAAGAATCTACAGGGCAAACTCCAGCCAGCATCGTTATGGGACGGGAAGTGCGCCTACCCTGTGATCTGAAATTTGGTTGCCGACCGGGAGAAGAAGTCGCCGGAGAAGATTATGTCCACACACTACGTCAAAGGATGGACGACATTCATCAGAGAGTCCGCCTAAATATTCAAAGTGCTAGTGACCGAATGAAGGAACACTACGACATTCAAGCTGAGCATGGAGGATACCAACCAGGGAAGTTGGTGTGGCTATATAACCCGCAGAGACGTCGTGGGTTATCTCCGAAGCTACAATCCTCGTGGGAAGGGCCATACGAAGTCATGGATAGAATTAATGACGTCGTATACCGTATCAGAAAATTGCCAAAAGGAAAACCGAGGGTAGTCCATTTCAACCGTTTGAGCCCCTACCAAGGCGAAATAGAAGATCGTGCTGGGACCGTGAGAACCTGCAGCTTTGATCCCCCTGATTCGGAGATGTCCTTTGACGATTTCATGGCCCGATACAACAGCAGTGAGAAGGCTCGCTATGGTGTAACCAAAGAAGATCAACGAGACCTCTTTTCCGTGCCTCCTGATTATTCGCTCGCTCATTGTGTGGCTCGAGATTTGCGGATGTCCAGAGGAATCGCTGCGACGTTCAATGAGAAGTTTGAGCGTGTCGGAGAACTACGCCGACAGGATCCACAGGTTGGAAGCGTCTTGAGGCTAACCGAGAATGCACATGGTCAAGCAAGACACATCTTCTACCGGGTCACCAAGGAATGGCCCCCGAGTAAGCCGACTTATCTCAATCTATGGAAGACCCTGATTGAACTGAGAGAGCTAAACAACAACATTACACGATTAGCCATTCCGAAGCTGGCGTGTGGACTCGATGGTTTGAGTTGGCGTACAATCCGGAACATGATTGAAGTCTTGTTCAGATTTACGGGAATCGAGATCCTCGTTTGCTGCTACAACCCAAAGCTGAGATCGGGAGAGAAAACTGTAGACTGCTAATTCTACCAGATTTCTCAATGTACCAGGGCCAGCTTTGCAAATACCTTCATTCACCATGTACATCTCGGGACGAGCATGTACCTAAGAAGGGGCAGTGTTGCGGAGCCGTGTGGACTCGACCTAACCTAACTATATGTCCCGCCCTCAGATGACCTTAACATCGCATTAAAGAATAGACACCGTAATAATTCATTCGAAGTTTTGAGAAGAATCGAGTTCCATTGGAATGGAGTAGTACATACGAGAAGAATCGAAACCTTCTCTATGCACCTAACGGTCTATGGACTGTTCGAGAAATCTTTAGCTGTGGGTATAAAAGCCGGCGGCTGGGGCCAAAAGAGGGCAGATATAAGACGAGTACAGTTGACGCGCGAAATTCAAAATAAATTCTTTCTAGATAAATAATTGTAAATCGTTTATAAATAGTTCTTTAAGTCTTTTATCGTTATTGTTTTTGTTAATTAGTGTTAAATAAATAGTGTTTAAATAAATAGTGACTTTCTATCCACACGGAACCGACGAAAAACGTAACAATATTAATGGTCGAGATTCGGCGAGTGAAAAGAAAAAGGTGTATAGAGAATATAACCAGAGCGGCGCGTGTGGATATAAGTTGAGGAAGGTCGGTATTTAAGTGCTTTCGAGTATTGAACCTGAAAGCAGAAATGATACTTAAAAGTAAGTGGTAGATGATAGACAAGTATGTTATAAAAGTGACTGCATTTTTTTGGAAACGAAACTATAACGATAACGAATGATCCAAGAACTATTGTAATAAACGATTTTAAATTACCTATAACATTTAAAAAAAGGCATTTAATACTGGTGGTTTAGTATAATAATGCCCACTTGCACCGTTTGTATAAACTTTGTTTAAAGGCTAGTGATTAACTATAATAAAATATGTATAGTTAATCACTGTTTAGCCTTTAAACAAAGTTTATACAAATGGTGCAAGTGGGCATAAATATGTTGTATAAATATACTCCAGGGCTTTTCTGTGTTAAACAAAGAGATATAAAATACCTGATAAATAAGCTCCCTTTTCAACAAGCCAAATTAGTACAAGAGCAGGAACCCAATAATGGACTCATCTGGTGGAAGATAAGAAGAAGAGTGTTTTTGTAGACGCCAACGGGGGAATTGGGCGAAAATAAAGTAAGCGCCGTACACACGACATATATTAGTCCAAGAGAGCTTGAGTTTAAATGACAATAAAATTCTAATTAGTTTGAATATTTCTTGTTGTCAACTTTGGTTTTTTAAAGCAGAAATGACTGAAAACTGGTGCAATGAAACCATTATGGAATTCCTTAATTTATACGAAAAGTACTCCATTATTTGGGATCCGCAACATGTTAACCATAAAAACAGAAATTTGGTTTCCGATGCATGGGTTGCAATTGCCGAAGAAATGTCCGTTACATGTACAGTCGGAGTTCATCATCGGAGTCGAACTCCATTTCTTGTGTTATTTGTACCCTTGTACAACGTTCGCCTTCACTTGCCTTGAAAAGACTGGCAAAGATAAAACATGTGTGCGCGGTCGTCGGTGCGCGAATATCAAGAAAAGACCAACGCTTCTACAAACGTTTGCTGAAACGCTGGCCATGGCTTGTCATGCCGTCTGTAGTCGGCTTTACATACGGAAATCTCGACCCAAGACTAACTTTTGCCAGCCCTTAGTATACTTAGTTCTGTTAGTGTTACTAATATTTATGAAAACCAAGCCTGCATCGTTCTAACGTTTTTTAAGTTCTAATATAGAGTTCTAATCACTGTCGATATGACATTACGACAATAGACACTCAAGCCACATCGTGATATTAAAAAAAAACATCATAAATTAATGATAGTTGAAAAAAATTGCGAATTCTTAGTGGCGAGTTCACTTCGCTCTTAAAAATTAGCTAAGGTATAATGTTCACATGAATCAAAAAACAAAATGCTCAGGAGACATGGTTCTGTTTGAATAATAATGTTTTGGGAAAAAGTTGCTCACGAAATCATTGCACAAGATGTTTTAAAATTAGGGTAAAAAACAGCCCTTCAATTAAGCCTGTATAATAAGCCAAATACTAAAGTTTATAAAAAACTGAGTTTATGAATTAAACTTGATAGATTTATAGACAGTTTGCTAAAAAATCATGTAAATAGGACTAAAAGTAAAAATAATATAACACTTTAAACTTGGCGAAAAAAAATTAGAGTATATATTTGATTTTTTTAATGAATTCAAATTTGTTTCAGCTAAAAGAAAAATCAATTGAAGTTGATAATTTGTCTAATAAAATCAGCAATTATCAAAATGATTTGAACATTGTTACAAGTAAAGGGCAGGAATATAATAAAGAAATACAGAAACTTAGTGAAGAACTTGCATGTAAAAATACGATTTGTGCCAAAAATGAACTCATTATTGAAAACTTAAAGCAAGATCTCAAAGATGTTTCTGAAAGAAATTATTTTCTTTTCAGTGAAAGAGAGGTAATAAAAATTATAGGCATATTTTTATTATTAATCAATATTTTCTTTACTTTCAGCATATTTTTTTAAATCTTCAACAAAAATCAGAACTGCTGATACAGGTTGAAGAAAGCAAAATTGCTGTAGAAGATAGATTGTCTAAAGAAACAATTTCTAATCAAAATTTGATTTTGGGACTACAGAAAAACTTGCATCTTTTGAACACTGAAATTGTGAATTTGAGAAATGACAAGTTTTTCTTGCAGAGACTTTCAAACGATTTGAAAGTTGCGTTAAAATCGTATGCCGAACAAAATAAGGTATTTTCTGTGCTTATTAGTTGAGTTATATAAAAATGTTTTTTTTTCAATTTATTTTTTAATGACATATGTTAATAGTGGACCTTGAAATCTACATAAACATAATCCCAAACTGCAGTAAAGGTCTCCTATTCCTATATAAAATTCACTACAAATTACGTTACTGCAAACTGCAGCCGTCTTATCCACTTACATTTGCTTTTTATTGCCATTATTGTTACAAATTCCGCATTTTTTCATAAGCTTTTTACACAAGTATAATATTAATACTGACGTTTTTTCAAATCCTTACTTAATTTTAATAAAATAATATATTTAATAAATCAAGTTAGGATGCAAATACCGTATGATCGAAAAAAAACGGCGTCCCGTTGGCTAGGAAATGACATTCGATGACATTTTCCATAAAAATTTACGGCTCAACTTTCGTTTAGCTGAAATCTGTTATATAAAAAATGACTTTATATATGCGTTCTAGAAGGCGTTAGGAGTACAAATATACAAAAATTTTCTTGCGGAAATGCGTCATTTTCTTTTTTCGGACTTTAGTATAGCTGAAATCTGTTACATCAAAACTAGTCTTCGGGGTGTGTCGTAGATATTTTTCTAAACATAAAAACACAAAAAAGTGTCTGCGGAAATTTCTTATTTTTATTTTACATAAAAAAAAATGCTTTGATTTTAAAATAGCCGAAATCAGTTCCATGAAAAATTAACTTATATTTGTTTTATACGAGCCTTTACGAGCAAAGAAATACAAAAAAATTCCTGCGGAAACGTGTCAATGTTATTTTGTGCACTTTGTTTTTCATACATTTTTCAGTTTAGAAGCTTACGGGACCTGGGAGCGAATAGGGGTGCTGGGTGGGGTAAAACATCTTTCGGAGGAATAACAATTCTTGTAGAATTGATAATATAGGTTCTTGTAACCTATAAGTACCTCGGAATGTTGCACTTATTCTTGTTTTTTATTAAAGCTTTACGTAAATAGGGCTGATTCAAAACAGAAAATCATTGGATCATGTAGTTTTCTTTTATATTTTAATAATTAACTGTAATTTTGCAAAAATATTATTAGATTGGTTAGGATTTGGGTTGCTTTGGTTAGCTTTTCTTTGTGGAGGGTGTTAAGCTGAGGTTTTTATATTTTATAAAGTCTATTAAATTTCCTCAGAAAATGGATACAGTTTATATCCGCAGGAGCATTTTTATTTTCCTCAATTCGTGAATGCTTCTAAAAGGCAAAAATATATTTATTTATTATATAACAGATTTCAGCTATTCTAAAGTCTAATAAATTTCCTTAGAAAATGAAAACAGCTTATTTCCGCAGGAAAATTTTTGTGTTTATATGTTCAGAAAAATATTAAAAATAAAACGCAAAATGTATTTTTTTTATAGCAGATTTCAGTTATTCTAAAGTGCGAAATTTGGAAATTACGCATTTCCGCAGGAAAATTTGTGTTTCCCGTGGTTCACAGTAGCTTTTTAAAGACAATTTTTTTTTCTAATAACTGATTTCAACTAAACGAAAGTTGACCCAAATTTACATATAAAATGACAGCGTTCTTCATTTCATAGCCATTATGCATCGTACTGCAACAAAACCCGCCTTAAGCTTGATTTTCATGCGTCCGTTATCCGTTGATACGATGGTCCGATATTAATTTTATTGGTTGACTTTAACGACTTCAATTGGTTAGAAACGATTATCCAATCGAAGTTTTTAAATTCAACCAATAAAATTAATATCGTATCATCGTATCGTCGGACAACGGATGCATGAAAATCAACCTTTATCCGAATTATTTTTGTGTTTTTTTTTGTTTAAAAATTAAATATTAATTTTTAATTTTGGAAAAACGAGATACAAAACAATGATTCCACTCAATGGACACGTTTCTTGTAAATTAACGCTTCAAACGTTTGCTAAAATAGTTTTTTTTATATTATCTCGAAACAACGTTTGTGCGATAAGACGGGTTTTGCAACTTGACGCCTCATTTTGACACTAATATTAATTTTTAGACTTTAAAGGATCAGCTTGATCTCATGTCAAAGGAAAACCACAGCTGCAATAGTCTATCTGCTTTATCATTCCACGATTTTTCATCAAATGAAAAATATGACGAATCGCTCATAAACAGACTTTTGACAGATCATAAGACTCCCGCTCTTCAGAAACCAGTGACGTCTGAGATTCAGGGATGTCTCAGAAAATTGCGCGAGGAAATTGCGAATTTGCAAGACGAGATTGTTCGGAAAAATCAACAGTTATAGGACCAGATTTAATATTTATTTAGATGTATTAATATATATGTACTTAATTTTCGTTATATCTTTGAGAATTTTAATTGTTATAAAGGTATTTTGGTAACTATTTTTGGCCTGTGATAACCACCCCTTAAATTTCAATAAAATTGTTTATTTCAAAAGAAATATAATGATTGTTATTAGAAGTATTACAAACAAGCTGTTTTTTTGAAAATTCGATTAACTTATTGTTTGTGATCATTGGCGTAACTAAAGGGGGGCCCGGGATGGCCGGGCCCCCCCAGGCACTGCTGGGCACCCCCCAGAGAAATCCTGAATTATGACTCTTGGCTATGTATTAATTTTTATTTGCTTGTGATGCAGTAAAAATGACGTTTTCTAGTTTTGTTTAGTTAATATTATTTTGTTGTGTTCAAAAAATGAATTAATTTTTATTTTTTTAGTAAATTTGTAGGTATTTAAGTAATCTACGGGAACACGGTTCGATAACCAAGTCTATCAAATTTATTGATAGAAATTCATGTAAATATTTTTTTCAAAAAATGTATTTTTTTTAATTATTTTTCATTTTTAAAAAAACAAAATCCTAGGCCCCCTCTGGGCTCAACCCCAGGCCCCCCCAGGCCCACCCCAGGATAAATTGCTAGTGTTGTGATTCTTCTAAAAATAAGACCAGTATATTTTTATTTTGACATACCTACGGGTCCGAACATAGATCCGATTCTGCTTTGTTTCGTAGCTACAGGGTGTTAGTCATATTTTTTTTCGATTTATTATAATTTTCTTCCATGTACTTTTAACGTTTTAAATGAAATTTTGAGGGTAAAAGTTACTATAAAGGCGACATATTTTAAAGCTAAAAAAATGTCGATATATTTATCAGGGATGTGCATATGGGTTATCATTGGAATATTTTTCTAAAAAAAGCATGTACGCCACTGATTTTTTTTTCTCTTCTTAGCGAAATAGTGTAAGCGGATTAATGACGATTAAAAGTTGTCTCTTTATATTTTGTGGATTTCGGCCTCCTTTTGATTGTCTTGATCTCCTCCAATTTGTCTTAATCCAAGTCTAATAGCAACCTTTAAAAAAAATAATATCATTAACTTGCGAAAGTTTTAAATAAGTACTCATTGATTCCTCATCAAAAATATGAAAAAAAGTTCCTATAAACATGGGTATGGAAATGCATAGTTTTAGAGTTACAGGATAACTTTTTAAAATTAGGTTTTTTGTAATTATCTTAAATACCATTTATTTTTTTATTTAAAATTGCTGTAGGTTCGACTAATAGGTACCGTATGACCGAAAAAAAAAACGGCGTCAGCGATGGCTATTAAATGAAGATCGCTGTCATTTTATATGTAAATTTATATGGGCGGCATCGATCGTCATTTCCCAGCCAACTGGACGCCGTTTTTTCTCGATCATACGGTAGTAGCAATGTTTAATAATAAATTAGGCAAAATATATAATTTTATTTTTATTTCGTTGGGTCTGGTGCACGTTAAAGTGTACCCTATTATAATGGTACACGGGAAAACCGGAAAGCTTTTCGCACTAAGTAATGCCTAGCTATAGCCTGGTCACAAAAGCAGCTGTGGCTCCAATGGTAAGGCAGTCGTTTCAGGACCGAGGGGTTCCAGGATTCTCACAAATATAGAACTTTTTTATATTTTTTATAGCTGCCGATAATACACAATAAAATACGCCGTAGGCGTGTTTTGATTGCGTTGGCTAATCTCTGGGGTTAATTTTTTTTGTTTAGATTGCACGTTTAGAGTTTCGCGTGCACCGAAGTTTTTTTAGTACACGTTAACGTGCACCTAGATATAGCGTTTTTATTTTAATTTTATTAATTGTGATTAATAAAACTGCGTTTATCTCATCAAGGAGGCCGAATTCGACAAAATATCAAGAGATAGCTTTTAATTGGCATTAAATGGCATACACAATTTTGATATTAAAAAAAAGTCAGTGGCGCACATGTTTTTTTTTTGAAAAATATTCCATTGATAACCCATATGCACGTCCCTGGTGAATCTGTCGACACTTTTTTAGCATTAAAATGTGTAGCACTTATAGTAACTTTTACCCTCAAAATTTCATTCGAATCACTAAAAGTACTTGGAAGAAAATTATAATAAATCGAAAGATTATTTAAGACTTTAATACCCTGTAGCTAGACGGGTTGCATAAGTTTAGGGTTGTAAAACCCTAAAATTAAGAAAATTGGCGATGATCATGTTTTTTCCCTGGACAAATATTTACCTTATTAGTTAACTTCATTTAGAGGTAGGAACTGTGGGCAGGAATGCCATCAGTTAAACTCTTAGGGTACAAACATAGCCCACTATGTTTGCATCGCGGCGAGCATCGTATCGAGATCGAGATGCCTCACTATTATGTAGGTACCCTTAGATTGTTAAACTCAAGACTACAAGTCACTCTGTGACCTCACTGTATCATCCAAAATGTATGATGGATCATCATCATATATTATTATGTTACCATGTAGCATATTGGACATAATTATTTTATGTTATTAAAAGTATGCCACTGGTTTTTCCGAACACAAAAAAAAATTAAAAAAAACCATTATCACACTTCCATAAAATATTTATATTTTTGTAATAAATAAATTAGCCTTAAAGCGTCTGGTTAAAACGTTTATATTTTTGTATAACATAATGTATGCTAATTGGAAACAAATGAGCCACGATATTAAATTCTATTTTAGTCTTCGATAAAAATATGTTGTTTCGTTTTTAAAACAATAAAAATCTACCTTTCATTGCATTCATTTGAATCCATAAAAGATAATAATATTTACATAATACATAACTTACTATATTTTATATCAAAGGCCGTGAGTTGAATATTGAATATCTTTTGTAGATATATCATCCTTTTGTATTATAATCTGAGATTATAATGCATATTTAGAAGTACAGTAGGATCGAAAAAACGGCGTTCAGTTGGCTTGGAAATGACGATCGATGACATTCCCCTCTGTCTTCTAACTATTTTTCAGATAAGATCAAAAAATAACCGACATATTTTACTCTGAAAATTAAAAAAATATCGACGGTTGAAAGGAGAAACTGCTAATATGCCACTTTCGTAACTTCACAGAAGACTTGTTTGTCTGTTTTATTTTGAAACTCAGAGAAAAGAATTTATTCAAAATTTAAAATGTTTAATGCGCCAAACCATAGGATTATTAGGAAGCAAACCTAAGTTACATCGACGCAGAAAAATTCGCTGATTTCGATAACTCAATTTCCACAAAAGTGGCGTATTAGCCATTTCTCCTTTCAACCGTCGATATATATTTTTACTTAAATTTTTAGGAGGGGAGTTAGTCACCGCCACCTTACAGATCTACTGTGTTTTCCCCTTTCTTGAGTTATAACGAGTTATAACTCATCATACAGTCTCAAGGCTTTAACAAAAGCCAGTATCTGAGACGGCTCCACAGAGGCCAGCTCTCCATCCTTGACATCAGCCGTACCAAAGTTCATGGCACGAATGGTCGTCGTCTCGGCGCACTCAGTGATGAGGTGTTTGGTTTGGTTTCGTTTTTAGAAACCCCGTGACAATCCGAAGATTGTTTTTACTTAAATCAAGGAAAATCTTTGATTTTTCTCGGTCGTAGGTTCTGAGGAACTTTTTCGAGTGTCTTAGACCGTTGGAGGATACCCATTCCAAGTTGCGGTTGGAGTCTTCCAGATTCTTCAGTTCCGCTTTCAGTTGGTTTCCGCTTGGAAAACAGAACGGTTCTGGTCCGGTTAGTGGAGTGTTCGCTTCTTTCCTAGCTAGATCATTTGCTTTTTCATTCTATCCCTTGGTGAGCAGGCACCCAGAGTAGGGGTATACATTCTCCTAAATTTAGTTTGTTACCTATATATTTTAATGTTGCTATATTATCAAGATATTATGTTTTTTAACTAAAAATTAAAAAACAACCCATTTTTAGCCGACCATACCAATAGGTATGGTAGGCTATTAAATTCACTCAAAATGAGTTATTTGGGTCATAAATGACCTAAATACAAAATATTTTCATGGTGTCTGTCCGTCTGTAACACGATAACTCAAAAACCGCTGAACCGATTTTAACTAAATTTGGCACAAAAAATACTGTGGCACCTGAGAATCTGGGCATTGGTTTTGGTGGGGTGGGGGTTGGTAAGGGGTATGGGAGGGGTTAAAATTTAAAAAGCGTAACTCCAAAATTACAGTAGCTAGCGAAACGCGGTTTTCAAACTAAGATTTGGAATAATATTTGCAACAAAATTTGTAATAACATCAAAATCAGTCAAAGTCGCAGTTTTTGAGATATTAACATATTTTAGTATGGGCGGCTATACGTGCCTCCAGGCACCAATTTATTTTCGGAAAATAGAAAATTTTCAATTTTTGGGGGAGGGCTCATAGAATCCAGAAACATAGGCGTGTTTCTGTAGTCGAAATATACCACCCCTAAAATATTTGCACTAATTTAAGGTTCACCCTGATATCTTTTTCAATTATTATTATTATTATTAATTTTCTGCTTAAATAAACAATAATAAAGCGTTTTATTTTCACAGCGGTTACGATTTTTTGGAGATATTCACATTTTTCCATAAAAATAAAATCAAAATTAATTTGTAATTTTTAAAAAGTTGCGTTGGTGATGCATACGCAAAAATGAAAAAGAAAGCGCAAATTTTAAAATTGTTTTTAATAATACCAAATTTGATTCTGTAAGCCTTAAGTTCTTCCTCTAGGAGATGCGAGGCCTTGTCGTTTGTTGGAAGCTCCTAGTCAGGTGCTAGGAGGAATTCCCTCTAACACGTGAGCTGGGTCTAAGGGTAAGAACATAGTGAAGCGACGAGCATAGCGGCGAGCAAGCAGCGTGATACCTTAGATTAACAATAACGTGATACCGTGTCGAGCAAGCCTCGATGTGCTGAAACATAGTAGAGCGGTGAGGAATAGCGAGATACTTGTGCAAATGTATTATTTTCATTTACTTATTGATAATTTAAAATGTTAACAGTGGCTAAAATTCTGGGCAGTAGTGTCGCAAACATTTGGTTGATTCGAAACCAACAAATTATAAGGTGTAGTAAACATAAAATTTTCAAAAACCGGAGTTTGTTGCGAAATTGTTGCCACTTCATCTCATAACTTATCTAAAATG